GAAACCAACTGACACTGACCTATGAATCATCCAAGCATGACAAACAAGTCACCCGACTCAAGAGATGAACCAGTGTGCTGTCTACACTGACAACTTAAGAGTTGCTTTCTGAACACATTACTGGTTTACAGTCATTTGAAATCATTTTATGGTGAATTAATGAAAAAAAACAAATAAACAAAAACTCCCACACAACTACAAATACAAACTTAAATGTTCAAGATACTCCGGACCACAAAAATGCGCGTGCAATTAAACAAAGGCCGAAGTCCAGTTATAGGCCAGCTGTGGTTTTAACAGCATGCTCTGTCATCATCTCAGGTTTGCAGGTAATGTGATAAACCTATAAAGTCCACAAGACACACAGGTGTTTATGAAATCTCCCTAACAGGCAGATATACAATCTCAGCTATACCTTAACAAACCCAGTATTATCAGAGTAAGAAGGTACACAGCATAGTTGCAACAGGGCTAAAAAAAATCCGATAAGGGGGCATATTTTCGTATCAGCCTGCAATAGATGAGAACTTTCCAGAAAAACTATTACACAAACAGCGATCTATCCAGCTAAGCCCAGCAATTAGAAGTTATCGTCACTTAATCTCACTTCAAATAAACGTCTGTAAAATCAAAGACTCTTCAATAATCCAGATCTGTAGTTCTACTCGGTATTTGCTTAGCTTTTTATGCTACACTTTAGCTCTACAGTAAATAGTTTCCGCTTCACGGTCACGTGCCAATTTCCAGCAAACTGTCAAAAAGCTAATGCTAACTATCGGACTCACGGCTCGTTTAATGTCGCACTTTCTAATGCATTTCTGCTTTTGTAACCTTGAACTGTTTTAGGCCAGTATTATCTAGCAGAGGATAGGACTCCGACTGGCTTAGGCTTCATGATTAACTGGAACTTTCGCTTCCAAACCTGGTGTTATCTAATCACCAAGCCATCAGACACTAGCAATAGTTGTCCAAAACATTAGCTACAAAATAAACGCAGAAATAGCTACTTTTTATTTTTGAGTTTTTTTGTTGCTGTTTTTTTTTGTTTAGTTTTTTTCCCCTGGTAATAAAATAAGCAGCTATATATGTGTAAATCTGAAAGCTACATGCGACCGCTTGGCTGCGTTTCAGTTTAGTGTTGACGTATGTAACAATTAGCCACGAAGCTACGATAGCTAACCATCACGACTGAACCGCTTAAGGCCTGTACTTTATACTCACTCTAAGCAAACACGTTTATGTCTGTGCAGTTGAACACATATCTTCAACTACGTTTATACTCTGCAATTTTCCTTTCCAGAACAACAGTAATATTTAACCCTGAAGCGACAGGCCCGGCGTGTCCCAGAAGTTTAATCACGCCACTTCTCAGAAACAGAGAGCGATTTTTCCCCCCCTGCCCCCTTCTTTACGTTAAGCTATTTTGAAGACACTTACCGATTCCAAACACAAAAAAGAAAAGGCAGCGAGACATCATGGCTGGGCAGTTTGCAGGGTCAGCCACTGGAGAGAAAACGACCGACGGAGACGCTCAGTCAGTGGTGTTTGGATGCAGCTACCACCGACGATACCAGGAAATGACAGTCATATGACAGACGCCGACGTGCCAGCCCTATAAGAGGTGTGGAGCCAGGCCCTATTTAAATCTCGTTGATGGACTAATTACTGGCCCGTGTGCACTTTAAAGCTCACACGAACCTAAGTGTTTAATGGCGCCTCATAAAATCTTCACCAATGATTTCATACTATTATAATTAGGGTGACTAGATATCTCCCTTTATGCCGGACTCGGCTTCTCAGTTAACGAAAGTGAACTTTCACGAGAAATACGCTGCTGTGCAAACGTTTTGAGCTAACCTGCATTTCTTTACATTTTGGAATTTTTCAGAAGTGGTCTTGAGTAATAGTTTTCCAGGCTTTCTGAAGATCTTTCAGAGTTTTTATTTGGACATTGATCGCCTTTTCACTCATTTTCAGTGCGGTTCCTGGTTTGTTAAGCCACTTAACACTGACTTATTAATTGTTCAAGCATAAAAAGGGACCTAACTCGAGGGATAAACATGACAACTTGGAAAAGAACCAATTTCAAACTGTCTTTAGGCAGCTTGTTATTAGCAGCCTGTCAAAAAAAAAAAAAAATGCATATCATTTGTTCTTGTGTCTTTAGTTGGATCTATAAAAAAAATGCCAGTTTGGCATGCATAAATTTGGATTTTTACACCAAGGAGATTCCAATTCTCAAAGACCTATTAGCTGAAAAGTTGGCATATCTCGACATGGTGAGCAATGACCTTTGACAAAGATTTGAGCAAAATTGGACTAGTGCAGGACTAAACCTGGAGGCTTAAAACTAACTAAGTCATGTCCTTAAGAAAAGGAAAAAATTCCCCTTATTAACTGTATTTCCATGTATGTTTACTGCCTCAATAAATCACAGTACCTATTTATTACCATGCCTCAAGACCTTTGCACAGTACTGTATGGCTCAAAACAGAGATGTTATTTTCTGTGGATTGATGGATAACCATTATTGCAAAAAAGTGAGCAGACAATATAGAAAATGGGATTATAGAAGCCATCCCATTAAAAACAAACTTTAGCTTATATTTAAGCTTACAAGGTGTAAATTGCTTTAATATAAAATATTCCATCTGTCCATCACATAATCAGCATCACACCGATAACATCTGTTTAACTTAGACTATTTCCAGCTTTAGTACCCAGTCTCACATAGTCATACGCTGAAATAGTTGGGATCTGGTCACCCTAAATATAACTACACGTGTTTGAAAACCAGTGATTGAACATGACATAACCCACTGAGACAGTTATTTTAATCTGAAGAAATCTAACAGACTCATACAAACAACGGCATATCTGATCAATCATTGTCTGCCTCATATGTTGAGGCATTTTCCATCCACTTTTCAGTAAGCCTCATAGGGAGACTTAAGAAAAAAAAAGTGTGTAGTAATGACATTGAATGTGGACTCTCATCGTATTGTGCTTTTACTAAGGGTCATCAAAAACCTAACACAAAGTGGACTGCCATGTCAGATTATTTAAAATGCTTTGTGGTGCATGTACAAAAATGACCTTCAAAGAAAAAACAAAAGAGAAACTTAAATGTGTTTACTTATACAAGTGGGCTGCCTTAGCAGCTTCATTATAGCCTATAACAACAAGAAGTGCTCCATTTTTGGCACATTTTGTGTGATTACAAACATAGCTATATCACTGGGCTACATGGCCTTGAAACTGTAAAACTTTGCTGATGCAGGATCACACATTTGCCACAGAAATTCCCAAAATTCCCAGTTCCCTACTTTAAATGTTAGTCCCACTTTTGACACTGACAGAAGAAACAAGCATCAGTTTAATTTTTATCCTTTTTTCTCTCTCAAACATGTGGTACATTTAGAGCATTGTTAGGTGTGTTAGCATTTGCCTGGGATACTGGGTGAACAAAAAGGAAGAAAAAAAAAATAGTGACTTGATAACAAAGAGCATATTGATTCAAACCATGGACAAAGAAGAATCTAAGTTTGAAAATAAATACTTTTCCTCTCCATTAAAAAAAAAAAAAGAAGAGCAAACTGAACAATATCTGTGTGTCTTCTTTGTCCCAGCTCTCTCAGAGGCACTGACAAATATGGACAATATTCTCTTTTCAATAGGCATGCAGTCCACAGGATCACAAGACCCCTGACGAAAAACCCTGTGGAGCTATAGCCATTCAGTTGTCGGTCGCTGGGTTGAAGATGATAATGGATAACTTCCACTGGAGCAGACGATTTAAGAGACCGAGCACTCAGAACGGCTTTCATCCTGACTGGACCACCTGCATCCACCTTTCTTTCATCTAAGCCACATAGTTGTACTGGTTGGAGTTCTCCTTGTCACGCTCCATGTAGTCCCTGTCAATAAGAGACTCTATCCTCTTTTTCAAGTCAGCAGGCTGAGAGGAGAGGACAGACAGGAGGCACGAGTTAAAACATGAAAAACGTGCCAGCATTTCAAGCTATAATTTAAGGTGTGATATAGAAAAAAAAAAAGAAGTGAAAAGGCAGATTCATGTTAGTCTTCCCAAAATTTATCATAAAATAAAAAGTAAATTAAAACACCTCCTTTTCCTCTAGACCTGCATAAAGGTGACCCTGTTATAGTTTTTTTTGTTATTTGATACATGCTGTTACACTGGAGCAGGGGTCCCCAATCCCAGTCCACGAGGGCCGGTGTCCCTGCAGGTTTTAGATGTG